CTAGATGTTAGCTGCTAGCTGTTAGCTGTTAGCTGCTAGCTGTTAGGTAACCCTAACCCTTTCCCTCAGGTTCTCTATCTGGATCTCTGGTCCCAGACCAGCTGATTCAAAATGGATTAAATTATTTGTTTTCCTCAACATTCCACCAACAATAATCCATAATGACAAAGTGAAAACGGTTTTTGCAGATTTCTTTGCCAATGTCTTGAAAATAATCAAATGCAATATCACATGCACATAAGTACTCACACCTTTTCTTATGACACTGAAAATTGAGCTCTAGTGCATCCGGTTTCCACTGATCATCGTCCAGATGTTTCCATAACCTGACTGGAGTCCACCAGTAGTACATGCAATTGATTGGACATGACTTTGAAAGGAACACACCCGTCTATATGAGGTCCCACAGTTGACAGTGCATATCACAGCACAAACCAAGTCATGAGGTCCAAGGAATTGTCTGTAGACCGCAGAGACAGGATCAAGGCACAGATCTGGGGAAGGGTACAGAAAGATGTCTGCAGCATTGAAGGTCCCAAGGAGCACAGTGGTCTCCATCATTTGCAAATGGAAGATGTTTGAAACCACCACGGCTCTTCCTAAAGCTAGCCGCCCAAACCAAACTGAGCATCGGGGGAGAAGGGCCTTAGTCAGAGAGGTGACCAAGAACCTGGTGGTCCCTCTGACAGAGCTCCAGTGTTCCTCTGTAGAGATGGGAGAACCTTCTAGAAGGACAACCATCTCTGCAGCACTCCACCAATCATGCTTTTAATGTAGGGTGGCCAGAAGGAAGCCACTCCTCAGCAAAAGGCGCATGAAAGCCCCCAAGGAGCAAGGCACCGCTCCTCACCTGGCCAACAGCATCCCTCCAGTGAAGCATGGTGGAGGCAGCATCATGTCTGGAGGAACCAGGCACCGCTCCTCACCTGGCCAACAGCATCCCTCCAGTGAAGCATGGTGGAGGCAGCATCATGTCTGGAGGAACCAGGCACCGCTCCTCACCTGGCCAACAGCATCCCTCCAGTGAAGCATGGTGGAGGCAGCATCATGTCTGGAGGAACCAGGCACCGCTCCTCACCTGGCCAACAGCATCCCTCCAGTGAAGCATGGTGGAGGCAGCATCATGTCTGGAGGAACCAGGCACCGCTCCTCACCTGGCCAACAGTATCCCTCCAGTGAAGCATGGTGGAGGCAGCATCATGCTGTGGGAGGTTCTTCAGCAGCAGGAACTGGGAGGTTCTTCAGCAGCAGGAACTGGGAGGTTCTTCAGCAGCAGGAACTGGGAGGTCAGGATCAAGGGAAAGATGAATGCAGCGATGTACAGGGAGATCCTTGATGAAAACCTGCTCCAGAGCGCTCTGGACCTCAGACTGGGGCGAAGGTCCACCTTTCAACAGGACAAGGACCCTTAGCACACAGCCACGATAACAAAGGAGTGGCTTCAGGACAAGTCTGTGAATGTCCTTGAGTGCAAAGACGCTCCCCGTCCAACCTGATGGAACTTGAGACGATCTGCTGAGAAGAAACTACCCAGAGAAAGGTGTGCTCATCATACTCAAGAAGACTTGAGGCTGTAATTGATGCCAAAGGTTCTTCAACAAAGTACTGATGAAAGGGTGTGAATACTTAAGCACATGTGATATTTGAGTGTTTTATTTTTAATAGATTTGCAACCTTTCTTTAAAAACTTTTTTCACTTGGACATTATGGGGTATTGTGTGAAGAATGTTGAGAAAACAAATTAATTTAATCCATTTTGAAATGAGGCTGTAACATGTCTCTCAGCCCTCCCTTCCTCTGACTCGTTCCAACTCCTGCCTCCAAACTCTGCTGCAGAAACTCTCCTCTCTACTCTCTCATCCTCTCTGGACTCTCTCTGTCCTCTCACATCTCGGCAGGCTCGTCAGTCCCCTCCTGCTCCCTGGCTAAATGATGCACTGCGTGCTAATAGAACCGTCCTTAGGGCAGCAGAGCGGAAATGGTGGAAATCCAAACACCGTGACGACCTCCTAACCTATCAGGCTCTCCTCTCCTCTTTCTCTGCTTCCATCTCTCAGGCAAAAAGCACTTTCTTTCAAGATAAGATCCAATCTTCATATTTTAATCCCAAAAAACTATTTTCCATCTTCTCCACCCTCCTGGACCCCCCCAAAGCCCCTTCCCCCTCCTCCCTCTTGGACCCCCCCAAAGCCCCTTCCCCCTCCTCCCTCTTGGACCCCCCCAAAGCCCCTTCCCCCTCCTCCCTCTTGGACCCCCCAAAGCCCCTTCCCCCTCCTCACTTCTGTCAAGCGACTTTGTTAACCACTTTGAAAAAAAGGTTGATGATATTCGCTCTTCTTTTTCTGACTCACCTTTACTCACCGCTGGGTCACCAGACCTTCCTTCCACCAACACACTGACCTCCTTTTCCCCTCTCTCTCCAAGTGAGGTTCTTACCCTCATTACCTCTGCCCGCCCTACCACCTGTCCTCTGGACCCTATCCCTTCAAACCTCCTTCAG